GGCGCTCCCCGCCGCCGGGACAGCGCCCCGCGACTCCCGGGGCCCGCGGGATGGGGGACGGCAGCGGGGGCTGCCCGTTCAGGGGCGGCCCGAAAGTGTCCCAGGCGGTGCGGTGCCTCCAACGGACCCGAGGCCTGCAAGGGAGTGAGAGCGGTAATTAAACACAGGCACGGGCACCGCAGCTCGGGGCAACCGGGGTGCCACGCGGGGGTTTTTGTGGTTTTCTTTCTGTCCAAATAAGGCGCTTAAGCCTCTGGAGATGCAATAAAACGACTCGGGTTTTTTTTTACATTATTTAATATTTAATCGCTGTATTAAACCTGGAAAAGTGGCTAGTTTTCTTTTTCTTTTTTTTTTTTTCCTTTCATTTTTCCCTCCTTTCCCCCTCAAGCTGGCCGTTCCTCCCCCCGATCCCTTCAGCCTTATCTGTGTGCGGGAGCCAGCGACAGAGGTAACGCCGCGCTCCCCCCGCCTCCCGCCCTGCCCGCACCGGCCGCGCACTCGGCACAAGTTTTCGCCGTCCGGGCACTCGCAGATTAACCTCAACTAAACACAGCATCGACAGCGAGCGCGGCTGAGCTCCACACAGCTCGGGCCTCTGTCCCTTCCCGAGCGCCCTGCTCTCAGCCTCCCAGCCCCTTACTCCTTTTCTCTGCTTCCCTCGCTAAGTGATTGCAAGAGGGGACAGAACTGAGAAATTTAGTTGGTGGCGTTTAGTTTTCCGGATTTTTTTAGTGTGGGGGGGCGGGTTGGTTTTTTTTGGGTGGGATTCCTGCGCAAACACGGCTGCTTCTCACCCCCGCGCCCTCGTCCGCTGGCGGGACACAGGGCACGGGCGGACCCGCGTGGCTGCAGCATCCTGAGCATCCTGCAACGCACCTGCGTCTTCCCGGGACGGGTGGGGAGCGGTGCCACCGGTCCGGGAGCTTGGAGCCACTTTGTTCCCCCGTGCTGGAGCCCCAGCAGTTTCCGTGCTGCAAGGAAAGTTTTATTTCTTGCCTCCATAAGGGAAAGACCAATTGGAGCCCTGGAAATCACACAGCCCATAAATATGATAGAACCTGGCAAGATGAACACCCCGCCTAAAAGCCTAACACATGCATAGCAAAAAAAAAAAAAAAAAAAAAAAAAAAAAAAAAAGGAGGGGGGGGGAGGGGGGGAAAAAAAAAAAAAAAAAAAAAAAAAAAAAAAAAAAAAAAAAAAAAAAAGAGAGAGAGAGAGAGAGAGAGAGAGAGAGAAGTAATCAAAGACAGAAAACGACCTACAAGAAATTACACTTTTCATTTAAAGTGTTCGTGGGTCTTCATTTGGAAAACGGAGTCAAGTCCCTGTGTGTATTGACCGTGAGGTAAAATGGTTGAGATATTTACATGAACAAAACTTTCCACCTACCGCGTTTGGCGCAATGAGCGCTAGGAATATTCCAGACTAGTAAAACACATTTCCAGAGCGCAATTCTCCTCAGAAACGTGGTTGCTTGCTTAAGATTTGCAGTTTAATGAACATTTCCCTCGCCTGTGAAGCGGGCGGGTTTTGGAGTTGAAAGACCCCATGAAAGTTCACCGTCCCGGGGTCGGGATTGAGCGGAGTTCCCCCAGTTTTCCTCTGCCCCCCTTCCCTCAATCCTCCAAGCGTAACCTGCGTTATATTTTAAACAAAACAGGATTTAGAAGCGCAGATCCTCTGCTGTGTGCCTGCGCCAGTTAGCAGCAGCAGGCGACTAGGTACCGCAAGCAAAGCGAAAAACTAACGCTAAAACGAGCAACAAGTTAATTCTGCAAAAGTAAACTTTTCTGGCTGCCTTTGGAAGAGTCCGGTCCGGCCACGATTGCCGGCTCCATGCCTGCCGTGGCACCCCAATTGTAAGAGGGCTACAGAGTGCATTTTTCCCCTCCTCCTTTTTAAAATAAATGCCTATTTAGTCCTAATGGACGCCTTTGGAAAATGGATGTAGAAGAGATACTGTCGTGGAAATAGTGAAAAGAAAGTGTTTACCGTATTTAGTATTCATTTACTTATAGTGGGAAATGATTAGGTATGTACTAATATAACCGTGGAGACCAACTGCCTAATTAGCATTTACAAATTAAAATGTTAAACATAAAGACATATTCCGTATACAGTCTGCTATATGTAAAACACATTCGTGCATAATACAGCAGTCAGCTGCAAACGTGAAGTTGACTGGCTTCCAGATATGTAGCGTTCTTGGCTAATGCGATCTGCTCTGGGTTTTTCAAGCTTACCCATACTGTAGTTCATAGTTCTTATGACCACGTTGATAGCTGCACTAGGGATATTACACTAACCAATCTGGAGAAAATAGGAAAATACACAGATTACTTTTAAAGGCTGACAATAATAACGATAAACACAATAGGCAGGCGAATCATTTATCCATACCTTTTATTCTGAAGGCTTCACTCGGAACCTTATTTATTGTTTTGAGCATAACAAAGCATTTCGGGTTCTGTAATAAATTAGAACAATAATACAGAACTGCACATGCAAAGCAAGATTCCTTTATTTCCCGGCTGCATAATTTTGATATTATCCAACGTGTCTTGCTCAGGGTTCACCTCACGCGGACTGTAATGAGAGTTGCCAAATGAATGGAACAATCTATCTGTTGACTTGAGCTCAACGTAGACACATTGCATATGATGGAAACCTAATGCTCCCACCGATGTTAAAATCAGAGGGATACATAGTTTCAATCCAGACCCTTGAACATGTAGATTTTTATTAATAAGAATTATTGTGCATGTAGCGACATTAAAAGGGGATTTACAAGTTGGAGTCTTTTAAAAGAGACTGTGAAAACCTTAGCCCTGCTTTTATTAGACATGATATCATTCCGATTTGCGTGCTTGCCATCTCAATGGCGTTTCACATGTGATAAAAAAAAAAAATCCATATGCATTACATAGATTTTCTTTTACACGCATAAGGACTGGAAGTCTTTTAGTGGATATGAGGCTGAATAATTGTGATACACCAGAAAACAGTTCGTGCAGTTTGGCAGCTCTGGTTATTATTATTAGATTTTTTGACATTTGAACTTGTCTATTGTCTGAGGAGCTCAGTGCAGATTGCAGTAGGTCAACCTTAAGGCTGCTCTTTTTGGCATTGCACACAAACATGCACACGCTGTCTGTTCTCCTTGTGTGAATACAGCAGCTAGAGTTTTATCGTGCCTTTTTTTTTTTTTTTTATCTATTTATATTTATCTAATCCGCTTGGGGTTTTCACGGTCGTGTGATTAGTTTGTACGTGCCTTCATTTTACACCCATTCCTCCAATCTATACATTTGCCTGATGTTGGATACTTTCAAGTACTCAGTCGCTTTTACAGCAGTATAATTCCAGCATCACGACGTTTGATAAAAGGGACTTCAGTAGCCCTGGGATTAAATGACATATTTTCCCGCAGCTTCGCTCAACTCCATCATGACTCCTACAGTCAAAAGTTAAAGTTATTCATCATCTCCTTGCATTTATTCCCTCCTCCCCTCTCTAAATTCAGCCCCACCACCCGACTTCTGAAACAATTTCTTACCGCCTGCCAAGAGTTAGGGGGGTAGCAGTGTGGGGGGCGGAGGCTGGAACCCGAAAGCCCGCCGGCACCCCGCGTCCCCGGGGGGCGACCCCCGCCCCCCGGCCTTTCCGCGGGCGCGGAACGGGCCGCGGCCACGCCGGGGTCCCGGCAAACGCCCTGCCGGGCGTGGCGGCAGGAGCCACTTCTGAGAAGGAAAACGCGAAATAGGGATGGATCCCCCCTAGGGTGGGAGGGGGAAGAGGAGCAGGAAAACTGGATCAAACCCGATAGGAAAGTCAGTTTGCACTGGGAAAATCTAGAGACTGAGTCGAAATAACTTTTCCCTGGAGTGATTTGTGCGTCTTGCTTTCTTCTCTAGTTTGTTTGGTGTTTTAAATTGAGGCTCTTTCCTCATCTGCCGGGGTGAAGGCACTCGGTCCGAGCAACAGCCCATCTCTTCTTGTAGCAGTCTGTCATTTAAATATGTATCTATATAGGTATGCATACATACAGGCGTATACGTCTGGATTTGTTCCCCCTTCACTTCCCTCTTCCCTCTTTAACAAGAGCCTGATAACGCGTTTAAGGCTTGTTATTTGAACTCTCTGATCAGCATGCAGAAATGTAATTGCAACGTTTTTCATCAGGAAAGAAAAGAAAGGGAAAAGGGGGAGGAAATCCCCCAGCTCCCCTTCACACCCTTACACACACAGACACCCAGTGCTCTGTAATCGCTGAGTCACCGTATTGGGGGTCAGTGGGTAAACACGAAGGAGAGAGCAGCAGCTTATTGAAAACCCCGGCGCAAACCGCATCCCTCCTTATCTCCAGACTGTAGATCCCTCCCCTCCTTCTTCTCCTGGATTTATTACTCCGGACTTGGAAAAGAGTGGCCCGAGTGCTGCCAGAGCCCTTTTTGTGACACTGTATGTCCTCCTCAGGCGCAGTGGGACCTGCTTTGTTCCGGCGAGGTGGAAGGAAGAAATTCAACATTAAACTGCTATTTGGGCTGCCGGGAATGGGCGTTGTTTTGTGGGCGTGAGGGGAGAAGGAGGAAAAGGGGGAACAACGGCCAGTTCACCTAGGGATATAAAGAAAGCTTTCCCTTTCTCTGGGGCTGGGCTCTGAACTGGGCATATTTACTTCTGTTTAAACGCTATTGTTCCTGCCAGCCTTTGACACAAACAGAAGGGGGGGGCAGGGGTGGGGAGAGATGGGGGGGGTGGAGGAAGGTGGTGGTGGCTGGAACAAAGCTGCTCAAACCCCAGCAACCCCCAAAGGCAGAAGAATACTTCTTTTTTTTTCCCATTTGAAAACCTATGTGACGAGTCTTTCTGTTTGGCGTTGTTTTCTGGGTCCCCCCACTCTCCCTGTGAGCTGAGCAGAGTGCCTGGCTGTGATTCACTTACCAGGGCCTGTTTAGAGAGGTACATGTCCCCCTGGTACGTGCCAGGCAGCCTCGGAGGGACACCTTCTCCAGCCCCTGGGTCTGAAGGAGAAGACTTGAAATCTGTTTGTGGCAAGCCCTGCAGTGGGAAACAAAGAGGCAGAAATGTTGGGAACCCAAGGAGGGCCTGAAACACAGAGAAGCATTGAGCTTCCCAGAGATGCTTCAGCTTCTCAGTGGGGGACAGAGCAGAATCCTTTTTGGGCTGTCTCTATGCATTTGAGGGCTGGACTGTACAGCCCACATTGAATCAGAATCATTGTGTGTAAATGAATAAGTGCACATTGTTTTGAGATGCTGCTATTGTATTTGGGGTTGGGGGGAGGAGAAGGTTATATTTCGTGTCTGTGTGTGTGTGTGGGTCTATGTGCTTACGAAAGGTGAGTGCAGATTGCAATAGTTGCTGCTCTATTTTTGTTTGTCAAACAGGGCCCTTCTCTTGGGAGAGGGGCATGTGGCGGATCCCAGCCCAGGATTACATTAATCAAAGCATTATTTCCCCAGGGATGTGCAGCACAAATGATAGTAAATCCTAATAAAATTGGATCGCTGAGAAATTGAACGCTTAAAGTAATCTGCTCTGCCTGATAAAAACTTCAAATTTATAAGATATTATGCATCCTCACCCCCAAACACCTTAGGTATCATCACTATGTGTGTATTATACAACTATCTGTAGGAGAGAAATCACCACTCAGTTTAACAGGCCCATCACTATTGAATATATACATAGATATAAATGTGTTTGTATGAGTGTGCACACATATATTGCCCACACAAACATGCACAGAGTCATAAAAGAACTAAAATATTTATGCACATAACAATAATGACTATGGTCAATATTGTCAAGACTTTACATGCAACACCTTTGCTGTGGCAGGTGCTATAGAAGGCTTGGACAGGGCTGCACATGGTTGTGTACCAGCACTGTAATCTTGCCTGGGGACTTAATTCTCTCTTGCTTTTTACTGAGACTCATTATGGACCTCCTTGATGGCACCTGTGATCTCAAGCCACTGAGCAGCTTTGCTTTTTAAACATGGGACCACAGGGGTGGTATGAAAATAATTTAAAAAAATTAAAAATATGTGAACATGAGTATTTGAAGCTAAATTTAGAAAGCTTTTGAGGGGATGAGCTTCAGAAGGAAACTGTGTTGGAGTGGATGGGAAGAGTTGAAAGAAGGAAAGGTATTCCCAGGCCAGGTATTAAGTCTCAGACATCAGCATACTGTGCCCACAGTCTTTCAGTACAGGGCCAGGCCATCACCTTGCTGACATGGGCCAGCAAAGATCAGGGTAGCTGCTGGCAATTTGCTAGCTTCAGACCCTCAGTCTCTGCTACTTCCTCCCTGCAGAAAGAAAGTTTATTTATAATTGCTGCCATAGGACATGACAATAGACTCAAAGAGATCCACTGTCCAGCAGAAAAACAAAAAATTGCTTTCTCTCCCCCCCCCCCCCCCCCCCGCCCCCAAAAGATCGCTGTGCTTCCATATGTGTAAGGGGCAGAAGGCATTTCCACTCACCCAGCTGAAACTCTTTGAAAGGCTGGAAAGGCTGTGAGCCTCCCCCGGCGTTATAAATGCCGATCATTCCTCCTACCCTCGCCGTCCCGGGACCCTGTTACCCCAGCGGGAGCTGGCCCTGCCTCGGGCCCCGTTCGTGACCCGTCCTGCCTACTGCTTTGTGGCCGACGAGTTCCGTACTCCTCTCCCTGCCCCTGTCCTTTCTGGCATCACCAGGCAGACCGAAGGCAGCTTATCTCTTTTCCCAGCGTGGGGTTTTCCTTCCCCGTCCCGGCCCCGGGGGCTTGCGGAGGAGGGCGGGCGGAGGTGGTCCCGACCCCACAGCGCCCCGCACCCTGCTCTGCCCTGGCCCGCTGGTATCTGTCCACCCTGGGAAGCAGCGGAGGGAAGCTGAGCCCTCTCTCAGCCCCGAAATGACGCAGCCCCTGTTCCAGCATCGTCTCCCGTTTGGGCTGGCTTCATTTCAGAAGCCGTCTCCCTCCACCCCCTTCTTCCCAGCCTTCCTCCTTCCTCCTCCTCCTCGCCTCACCGTCACTCTCAAACAACCCCCCCCCCTCCCCACTCCTCGCGCCCGCTTCCCCCCGCCGCCCCAAACTCCTTCCTCAGGACCGTGGGATGCGGGTGAGCTCTGGTGAGAGTTGCCGGTCTCCATTTCTAAGCGGGGAGCCGCCGGGAGCGGTGAGGCAGCCGTGACGGGGAGGGGGAGCGGTCGGGGGGTTAGGGAGGCGATGACTGGCGGCAGGGGGGGGGGCCGCACCCCCCCTCTCCCCATCTGGAGCAGCCGCTGGTCCCGGGAAGGTGCAGCCGCCGCGCCCCGCCGCCCCGGCCCCGCGCCCCGCGGTGGGCAGCGCTGCCCCGCGCCGGCGCTCCCGCCGCGCTCCCCTCGCCCTCCCCCACGCGGGTGCGGACGGCGCGGGGACCCACTCACCTCGCCACTGACGGTGCCTTTTCTCACACCCTCCACCCCCCTCCCAAAAAATAAAATAAAAAACCAAACAAAGACCAACTATTTGCATAGCGTTCGGCACCCTCACTCAGTATTTATCCCCACTTTTTTTTATCGCCCGTCTACCTCCGCCCAGACCGACCCTTCTGCCCCACCCCACTCCCCCGCATCGCGGGTGTAACCGGATGGCAAAAATCAAAGCTGGCTCCAATTTACCCCAGTTGTCTTCCTTTGAACACTCATAAGGTAGGTATGGTGGGATGCTGCGCTCCCACTCCCCATGTGCTCAGTGAGGTGCCTTCCTCTCCACCCTATTCCCCCCCGCCCCGCTCTCTATTCCTTAATTGGCTGTATCTTGATGTGCACTTGTTTTGTTTAGCCTATTTTACCATTGCGGACGAGATAGGCAGGAAAAGGAGTGTTTGACTTGGTATGTCTCTGATTTTTTTTTTCCCCTCTCCCTGCCTTCCGAAGTTAATTTGCATTCGAGGTCTAATCCATGTTTCAAAATCCTGCCATTTGAGGACTGTATAGGAACAGGGCATTCGTTTCTATTTTTGAGGAGGAGCCTCTCCTGCATTTGCTCCTTTTTGTATAATTTCATTGTGTTCACAAGTGACAGGGATCTGCATCAGTTATTTTGCAATTTATTTCTTAAAAGAGTTGATCAAATTTTATTATTTTTAGAATTGCAGAGGGAGCAAATACTAGGCATTAGAAAAGGAGCATACATTATTAACAATGTTGCAAACTTAGTCACAGACTATGTATTCATGTATATGTATTAATCTGCATTCCTTGGAGTTGGATTTCTGCCTCCTGAACATCTGATTTTGATGAGAGAAATCAGTCAGAGAAAGTAAACTATACAAATACTAAAGTGTATTTATAGTTCCTCACATCTATTTACAGGTGATTTTACTGCTGTTTGCTACTCTTGCTCCAGCACTTAGTAATTATTTGACTCCAGCAAGGCATTTCATAGGATTAGATGCTGCTTTACTCATTAAAGAGTTTTCAGTTTATCCAGGTGTAACTTTCATCTGCATCTCTGGAAATAACTATGAGGCCATGTGGACTTTATGTAAAAAGTATAAAATATAAATGAACATATAAAAAGATTAGATTGTATCCATGGTTCTTTGGATGTGATGGAGAATCCATCTATGCTGAGGCCTTTATGGGTCCTTTAATGACTTTCACATATTTTATTTGTATCTCTAAATGAATTTTCTTTTTGTGTGTAGTGACTACATGAATGGCATATGTTGCATAATATTCATATGAAGCTTTTCAAGTATTTCTGTATGCACACAAATTTATTTTTCACAAATATATGTGTGTGCATACATATGCATTTATACATGTGTGTGATAAAAAAACATGCTGGAAGAGAAAACTGCCCAAAATAAACAATATTCATGAAGGAAAAGCCGTTAAGGTAGTTCACTGGGAGTTGGTATCTGGTACATTGCAAAAGTTACTTTAGTTGCAGACTTTACTGTAAATACCTACATATACCCCCATCTCAGCATAAAAATCCCTATGTGTGTATTTGCCCTTCTAGAACTAACTAAATGGGACTATGAATTATGCCTAAAAAGATGCCACTGATATAAAAATCTTATAAAATAATAATAGAATATGGAATTTTATATAGCGCCAACAACTTTAGCACAATTCTTGGCATAAGCAATTTAGTGCAATTTTATTTGTCTGAACCAGAATGATATTACAAAGTGAATTAATAGAACATTAGTACTGAAAAAAAGAAACAGTTCTTCCTTTGAAACATGAAGTGCCACTAACTTGAGATGAAACCTGAAAGTCAGTGAATAATATATGGGAAATATTAATATTTTAAATGTATCATATTTAAAATTGCTGTGAACTTAAACAAGATTTCATATCAAGAAAAACCAAGTAATTCATTTTAGGTTCTAATCATATATGCAATGTTCTACAAATGAGGCAACTCACTAAAGGAGGGAAACCAGGTATGTAAGCATATCTTGTTATTTTGCACATGAAATATGGTCATTATGGAATATGAATTCAATTTTGGAAATTATAAAAAAGAACACTTATTTTATTTTTTCTACTATGATTCAAGAAAAACAGTTTTAAGTAGATGATTAATTAGATGAAATGGACTGAAATGGCTCATAATACCTGTATGGGCTTTTATACCTTGTGAAACCCCACCACAATGGGACCTTTATAAAAAGTATGAAGTCAAGTAATACAATCATATTTTATATTTAGAATGGGAGTTGATATGATCCAGTTTAGTATTGTGAAAAAGTGAGCCCTCTGGCACTTGGCATGAAATTATTTTAAAATTACTCCTTCAAGTAAAGTTGGTAGAAAGACTACCGTGGTTGAAGCCCAGCACTAAAGCTCAGGGGCAAATTGGGTGCTGCTGCTTGCCTTGCTATCCGTTTAAGTGCAGACAAGGTGCTACCCTTGGTTGTCTCCTTAGTTCAAGGTCTATTGGCTCCACTATTTCACTGTCCTTCTCCAACCAGTGGTACAGCTCAGCATCTGGAAGCCAAACCTGTGCTCAAGATGGACCAAATCTTGCTTGTCCCATTCACTGAAGTCATGTGGAGCTTTGTTTGATTGGAATGAGCAGGATCTAGCTCTAATTCTGCTCCCTGAAGTATTTCCATTAGACCTTAATGTCAATGGAGAGATTATTGTTTCATTTATTTGATGTGAATGGAGTTAGATATGAGGGCCACATTGATCTTGCCCTTACGCCCCAGCTGTCTAAGGGTTACATCCTACACACTTTGACTCGTGAATCAGGCCTGCAATAATTCTGGTCACTAGATACTGATAAGTAGGACGTGCATTACCAAGCATTTTGAACAATCAAAAAACCTCATACCCGCGTCTTTGCATTGAAGGAAGTGCTGGATGTGTATGAGCTTAGCAGAAAGGGCAGTTGTGTGTTCTGGGAAAGAGTTAAGGCTGCCATGAGGACTGTCAGCACTTGTGAGGTGTCTTGTTGAAGGACAGCAAAAGCCTGGTTAGTGTGTAGTCTGGTTCCCACATAGACAGTTGCTCCCACTCTGAGCTAGTTGCAGGTGCCACAGAAGAAGGCAGGGTGGTGATGGTGGAGGGGGGACACAGTTACCACTTGCTACACAAGCGGATCTTTTTCTGTCCAGTTTTGGCCAAAGCTCTGGGACATTTGCTATGGTTCTCTCAATTATGTCTCATTAATTTCAGTAGCTTGTGTTTTCATTACAAATGCCCAATGTCCTTTAGAAACTTACTACGGGTATTTTAAATTCAGAATAACTGTGGTGAGAAAAACCCCATGCTTTTTTCAAGCAGTTTTACCATTTAATCACAGTTTGTTTAAATGTGCATTTCTCTGCTGTGAAATAACCTTTCTTTCCACATTTATGTGCACAATCCTGACTCATAGCAGAAAAAAACATTTTAAAACACTGTGTCATGCTTATAGGATAATTATTAATCTTGTCAGAATAAAAAGCGTACTAAAAGTATTCCATACAAAGGTTTGTGCCTCAACATTTTTGAGAGTTTTTTTTTTAAAGTAATCAGAGATGTCATAACAGGGGGAGAAACCATACAATATATACCATGTAGTACAAGTATAAGACTCCTAGAGGACTATTTAGAAATACACAAAGCTTATTTTTTCTCCTTTTGGTTAGCAGACTACTTGATGAAAAGGTACGTTTTTATTTTTATTCCTGCTTGTGTCTTACAGTTCTATGAAGGCGATGGGAAACTACAAATTCCAGACTTTAGTTGTTATATATTGTATAAAACTAAGGAAGAAAAATGCTCATGATACATATCTGGCGGTAGAAATACATAATAATCATGCAATTCGATAACAGAAAGAATAATTATTTGACAATAAACCCAATGTTAAATACAAGCAGAGTAATATTGTCCTAGTGAAAAATATAGCAAATAAAATGATACTACAAAAAAACACTTATGAAACTTCCTCTATGTTTAGAACTTTTCCATCGTGTTTTCCTTTTTAATAATTTGTGACCACTGAGATATGGTTAGTGAACAAGGCAGTCAAAACTTTTCTGTCTTGATTTTCCTATCCCATATCTACAAGTCCAAAAATGCAATTTGTAGTAACTGCACTTGATGTTAGGAGGGTGATTTTGCTGCTTGTTTGCTTGGATTTTGCTCAAGACTTGATTTTGCGTACCCTGACTCATGCTGAAATTTCTGGTGCATGTGAGCAGTGATTGTAGGGTCATCTACTTATTCTGTGTAAGAAGGACGGCTTTTTCATCCTGAGGATTCTGATAGAAACAGAAAAGGGATACTGTAGGATAGTGACTATTTTTCAAGGACTTTGGGCATTCACTCCTTCATTTAACTTCAGTGAGAACTGTGAAAACTCAGTATTAAAAAAAAGAGCCAATTTTTCTTTAGAAAGTTAAGTTGACTTGTGTATCTCTGGCTATAATAAATAGTAATATTCTGTAGCTGGAAATGTCTGTTTTTATCTTTGTGTGGGTTTAGCATTAGCTATACGTATATAAAATGCAAATGTATCTTTCCTCATGTGATAACTGTTTGATTTGCCTTTTTCTTTTAAGAGGTAAAAAGAATTATTAAACTACTACTGCCCTGAAAAAAAACCCAAAAAACAAAAAACAACAAAGCCAGACAGAAACAATAGAAATTATTGTTCATTAGTCAGGTAAGAAAATAAGGTCTGTAATCTGCAGAGGGTAAATTATGATTTTATACGCTGCTGATTTGCCTTTCTGAAATTAGGATCCTTGTACTGAAACTCTTTCAGCTATTTTTATTACTATTATAAAAGAATGAGATGCAGATTTCACACACCTGTTAGAGGGACAGCTTTTTACACTGTGACACTCTGAAACCTAAGGAAAATATAGCAAACTTTTCCGGGAGCCACCAATGGCTGGGGAGAGGAGAGTATCTGCACATGCTTCCATGCCAGTGAATGCTGTAGCCGGTTGTGTGCACCAGGGGCTATGGGTTTTCTTTTCAGAAGAGGACTAGCAGAAGAACCAAAACCCTTGACTAGTTATTGATCCAAGTCCCCTCAGTGCAGCACTGTCAAGTTTTGGGATCAGTTTTGGCTGGATGGTATTGAGCTGCCACTGGGAAAGGTACCCAATCCAAAGCTCTTTGCACCCCCTGTGCCCACACTTGGGGAATAATTCCTTTGTCTGTAAGTGGTGGTTGAAGCCGTGACCCTCCTCCCAGCAATGCCCAGGACGAGCTGGGGTCTCTGGGACGGGTTCCGCTTTGTTGTGCGGAATGCATCGGGACAGGGCTTCCCTCCGCATCCCGACGCCAACTTTGTGCTTTGGTTTCATCTCTAATCTCTCTATTAGGGTTTTTAAAATTTTAGATCCTGGCTTCAGTTAGAAACGATTGGACTGTGCTCAGCACTGGCTGTCTTGGTAGGTTTGAAATTCCTGGGAAAACTCAATACTGGCATTTTCTAAACACAGTAAGCACACTGGAATATTAATAGGTGAAACATTTTAAAGGTGAAACATCACTTTGTAATTTTGCCTGTTAAAATATATCAGCTAGGGGCAGCTTGGGAGAGTTGCAGTAAAGCCACAAGTGTTCTTCACAATTTAAATCTTCTGCATTTTAATTATTTCTTTTTTTTTTTTCTGCCACTGTAAAAGATCCCTGGAGACAATGGGGCTGTGACACTTAGCAACAGGTTATCCTCGCTGTGCAGGGAGCACCATAAAAACCACAAAATGGACACACAGAATAAAATACAACACCCACTCCCCTGCTTCCCAGTTTCTTTACTTTCTGGTATTAGAGTAGTTACACTACATCAGTAGTGGGTAAAAAGGAAAAAAACCCAACCAAACAGATGGAAATATCTCTAAACTGACAGAGCCTCTGCAAATTTGCTTGAAGAACTATCTTAAAATAATAATAAAAATAATAATAAAACATTCTATACTATTCTGGACTTTATTTATTTAAACACAAATTTATGGAGCTGGTCACATATTAAAAATTGGAGAGTTTGGTACTGTAGTTGCTTTGGTGTATTTTTCACCATTGTAATGAGCTACAGGGAAACAAAGGAGGATATGAATATAGGGCAGTTGGTATTTAGATTTGTGCGGCACTTTCATGAGTTGAAAATGTCTTTTTAAAAAATCTATTTTTCTTTTATCCTGCTATTGAATTGTAGAAGACATTGAGATAGAAAAACTGGAATTATTTACTAACCAAAATGAGGAGTGTTTTTTGTAGTATATTTCTTATATTTCTCATTGCCAACCTCTTGACTGATAAGGAATTCCAAGGTCCAGGCTAAACTCACCCATGGGGTAGAATGGGCTGTTAGAGAGTGAGATGATAGATGGATCTATTCCTCACCTTCCAAACCCAGTTTCTTTATAAAGCAATAGAAAACAAACCTTTTCATAGAGCATCAAAAAGCAAGCTCAAGAACAACACTACTATCACACCTTTCACGGTATTTTTTTTCAGGCATCTGCCCCTGATTTTAATCCAAAGGAGCTGCTTTTGGAACTGGCGTGTCCGGCTTTGGTGAGTGCCTGCTGAGGAAGAGGTATGCCCTTTGTCCCTCACCTGCAGATGGCTTGGATGCTTTTACTTTACCGAGGCAAGCACTTCCCAGTGGGCTGCATTCAGAAAGTGCTTTTCATAGCATTAGTACAGAACCAAGTTACAAAAGAATATTAATCTAATACATTCCAAAATTCAAATATGTGTGATTAATAAGCATTATTATCTATAAATAAGGCTCTAATGATACTTTGGCAGTGTTGTAAACACAAGAATCAGAAGCAATTATTGTCATTATTGTTCTGCAAGTACCTTCCATGAATACCAAATGGATATTACTGTCCAGCTCTTTGGCACATAGAAATCCTGTAAAGAACAGTTGTCAGTCAGTAAGGCCTGGCCGGCTGCTGTTAACTACGTTTGTGTAAAATGTAGTGTACCTAAAGACAAAGCTGATGAGTTACTGAAAGCAAGAAGACTGATTAAAAAAAATTATTCTTTGTCCTTTGCAACACCCAAAATTATGTTAAATAAAGCCTATGAGAAAGTTTTCCCATCCGTTGAGATGAACTGTCTGTGTGATGGTTGAGATTAAAAATGGAAATGGACTCTCTGACAAAAAAAACTGCCCTTCTTTGTGTGAAACACACAAAGGTGAGGATGTCCCAGCTGAAAGGTGGTGTGTAAATAATTACAAGATCCCCCCACTCCCCAGCTGTAAGAGGTAACTCCGGACTAGTTTTCAAGGACAGAAAATGAAAGGGGTCTTAATCCTCATCACATTTACCTCTCCCCAGTTTGTACAAGTTCCATAGACTGGAGTCACGCTGGTGGCCGGGTCCCACTCTCTGTGACACCCCCACTCGCCTGCCTTTGGCAGTCTCACCTCCCTCACCAAACCTTGCTGCTTTAGATGGCGCCAGCCAGCCAGCAGCATTTTGTGGTGGGTGTTATGTTGTTCTTCGGATGCCAGGGTGTCATCGCGAGCGGGAACAGTGTGGGTCTGACTCTTCGAATATGCAGAAAGAAAAAGTAAAAAAAACCCAACCAAACCCCAAACAGTAAGCTTTACTTTCCAAATGTGTTCAATTCTTCTTTTCTCTCCTTGATATTTGGGGCGTGCGACACCCTATACCATGTGGTTTAACATTTTGTTCTCTATTTGTAGGTCAACATTTCCATGATTAAACTTCATCCTTTATTCAGCCTGTTCTGGCTAGGCTTTGCAGCACATGTGATATAAGCTGTTTTCACAGCTAGTAGGCCAAATCTTACTCTGAATAAGGGAGCCAAACATATGTGACTGAGTCAGACACTTAAATCAACTCCTTGGTAAATGGGAGATAACTCCAGGTGCAGTGATGAACACTGAGAACCAAAAAAGTGGGAAGGGTGGCCAGCGTTCCTCTGTGTAGAAAAGGAGACATCCTATGCACACAGGCAGTGAAATCATAGCCGTACCCAAATTTTGCTCTTCCGCATTTGTCTGAGGTCACAGAGCCCTCTTCACTGAAGTAATTGGGAATTTTTCCATTCAGTGTCAGGCCAGCCTGGGGTAGGCTCAGTTGCATGGAACAGGCTGCGCAGGAGGGGGACAAGGCAGCAGGAAACGAGCCCACCTTACGCTGGCAGCACACACAAGAAGGTTGCTGGGGGAGCATGGAGCATTTCACCTACAGCATTATGTTTCCTTCACTTGCCCTCCCTTCTTCTCCCTTACCGATCTCATTTACGGACCAAGGCTGGTGGCTCTTCTTTCGCTTGGTGGCAGGTATCGGTTGCTCTAAGTCCATGAAGTTGGACTGGGCAACCTATCCACTTAAATCAGTGGAACAATTCCCAGAAGCACTGCCATCCAGAGTGAGTGTGACCCACCAGTAACCCTTAGTGCAGAGGATTTTTGTTAAAGGACTCTGGCTGCGTGGCCAGCAGCCCTCCTCCTGTCCTTCTTTGCCATTTCCTGGCAATTCTGCGAAGTTCTGGGAAGCCTAAAAGGCTCATCAGACACAAACACAAATGCCAGAGGAGGAAGGGTTGTCATAAATTATCTAGATCTGCTGTGTGGTTGCTGTGCGATGATCCTATCTTCACCAGAGATGGACTGGTTGGGGCTGTTGGGTTGCTACACAGCAAGTATCAGAGTGAATATCAAGAGAGCTCCTGCAGGAGGTCCAGAGAGGACCTATTTTCCTCAAATGGACATGGCTGTACCCACAATATTATAGAGAGAGGACTGTGCTTCATATATAATTTGGTGATGAACTGCAGCATCAGAGAGAGGCCTTGACAATGAAGCATTTCTGTCAGGAACAAGCACTTCCAGAGCTACAATGGGGCTGTCTCCCTCAGCTAAAGGAAATACAGGCAGCATAGCAGGAATTTCAGTGACTTTTTTTTTTTTTAAAATTGCATCCATTCTTTAGGGTTTGTTCATTCGCATAGGTTTTTAAAATAACTTTTTTTTTTCATTTAGGAAGAAAAACATATCCTGCCCAAAATGAAATCTGCTTGCTAGATCTGCAGTGAAAAAGGTCAAATGGTGACTACCGTGGCTCTTTGAGTACTGTGTTATTCATAGTTTAGAAAGTCCTGTCCTGATAAGACACACAGTAGACAACACATATAAGATGAAGTTTATGCACTAGTCTGAGGTTTTGAGGACCTGCCTCATGGCTGGGCAAATCCCTGGGCGTGCATGTGGACATCAGATCCACTTCTCCGCCATTACATTGGGAAGAAAAGCCTGCTGGCTATGAGATGTTACCAAGGACTTAATAGAAGGCAGGTGCCTTCAGTGCTTGTCATGCAGTTAGGGGATGATGTACAGAATGAGGCACAGAATGAGGCACAGAAGTAGATGATCTGGTCCAGTGTGCCTTGGGGACATGGAATGGTGCAAGCAAGAGGGAGAGTACCATGGTTCTGCCCTCA